AGCTACTTATGCATACAGCCTCGCATATTATTCTGCTCTTTTGTGCGTGTATTTGTAAACATCTCGTGCRCAGACAAGCAATAATTCAAACATAATTTTCGCAACTTCATAAAAGCGGCATAAATTATTATTATTTCATTACCAGCTGACATATGTGCGGTCCAACTGAGGGGATTTCGAATAGGAGGGGCAAGAGAATGAGCGCTTGGTATCGTGGTAAACAGCACTAACACATGTATGTATGAGAGCTACACGTAAAGCAATTGCCAGTGAATTAAGCGAATATCGGTGAGAGCAAAAACATACAACAATAACAACAACAGTTACATGTAGACATCTATGGAAATAAATATGTGTGTGTATGTTGCCGTTCATTGCACCAACTTCCGGTTAYTTAGGACATCACCGCTATATTTATGCTTATAGTCCTGCGGTCCATTTTATATTTACCACATAACAGCTTGAGCCTGCCCGTGGGCTTAGCCGCCTATTYAGGTCTACTTATGAATTTTCACTTGAAAATCTTCCACAGAATCACACAGAGAATTTCGTATGGAAAAACCAAATTTCATAATAAAGAGCTTAGTAAAAATTTTAATTTAAAATGTATTTTTGTGTTTTGTTTTTTTGTATGTGTATGTGTGTGTGTTCGCCTTCTATGTTTGCCTGGCTCRCATTAAAAGCGAGCGCACGCCCATTATTTGTTTTGGCTTTTCCATTAAATATTTATTTAATTAGGCAAATATAAATATTTGATGGCGCTTTGCAATGAAATGTGGCAAATTAGGCTAAAAATTAGCAGAATTTCGAATATTTACGCACATTCACGCACAATTTGCGGCACTTTTATAAATAAATATACATAAAAATTATATTTTCGTGTTGCTCAAAAATGTTAATTCCTTTTATAGCAAGCCTTTTGAGGAGTTACACTATCATGTCAATTTCAAAAAAATCTTAAATTATTTGCTTATCTTTTCTTAAATGCACAAACTTWTGAAAATATTCTTCGAAATTAATTTAGTGCAATCGTATTTCAAAAAATCGTTTTTTTTT